AATAGATAAATGGGTGAATGATTCGATATTTCAACATTATGCCAATTATTTCAGAACAATAAGCCAATTTTCGGATGTAATTAAATATCCCTGCAATAATTCCTTCATTGTATGCATAACAAACAAAAATACTAAGAGAGCCAACTGTTTCTCATAAATGTTAACAAGATTGGCAAATTACCATTTGCTTCGATGTTAATGCAGCCTCATAAAACAGTTTCTCATTCTGACCAGTACTATACATTTGCAGTAGAAAAGCTTTAGAAGCGACTTGCTGAAAAATTCTGCATTTTAAACCTACTCCACTGTTGCATTTTTTTCAATGAAAGTGCAGGTGCAATGCATATGGCAAAACTATTTTTAACACTGAATCATTTGAAAACTGGTGGCCATTGGTGTAGCCAAGTACAACCCTCCACCTCCCCACTCCCAAAACTTTTTCGAATTCTGCATAACACATGCAGAGACCTGCATAATGGGTTGTTGAATGAAACCTGCCCCCAAAATTTTACACCTACACCCTTGTGAGGGCAAATCCAACTTGCAGGTTAGCAGTAAAATTCTTAGTTTAAAAGTCATAGGATGGGAATAGATCACATAAGCCACACAATCACAAAAAGCCCTGCACCGGGTTCTGAAGTTACCGAAATCGGGAATTAAATTGTTCGGGCCAGGAAGTCCCAGTCGGGGATCCATATATTGTAGCAGTGAATTTTAATGATGCTAATTCATTATTAAAATTCATTCATATTATATATGAACCCCCAACTGAAAATTTTCATGCCATTTTTGTGCTTGGCCGGCAGTGAAATCGGCGGTCTGCTCACAATGTTAACGCCATAAGCGGCTGATGACAAGATTGACATAGAATTGAGCAATCATACAACCAAAAAATAGTGACTCTGTACTGCTTTTCATAAAAATAGGTGGTTTCTCAACAGAAAACCTGAGATGGGTGACTTTTCTGGGGTGTATTCCGTACCATGTTGGTTTGATTACTTTTGTCTGATTGTACATGTAAGTGTTCAATATTCAATATTATATTAGCAGAAGCCCCCCTGCCTCCCCTGTGCACATCATCTTGCATGTCCCAGTAGCATTGTGTAGCACGCATTGATGATGCAACTTCAGCGTATACACTCCACCCAAGAATACGTATACTAGCCAGAGGACTGCAGACAAAGCTGATATTCAACAAGCAGAGTTGTAGACCAAACATTAGTGTTTGTTCTGTGGAACAATGCAAAATCAGCCCAGTCAAGTTTATCAAGAAAGACCTCCTTCATTCAGGGAAGGAAGCAAGTTCTACAGTGCTGTCTGCACCCAGTCAGAGAATAAAGGACTCGAACACTGCCAAAAAGGGCTGGGGTCTTCCAACTCAAAAAGACGATGGACAGACAGTGTTAGAGATCGGTCACAGGCTCTGGTGGAGAAAGAGAATGAAGACAGCCAGCCTGTTCCCGAACTGCCGTCTTTAGCCAATATAAACAACTTCTGTTTATAAGACGGGCTAGCTTTAGCGCGCCGATTTCAAGGCCTTTCTCTTGGCATGTTTTCTCGTGATGCACATATGACGACGACCAGAGCTGGCATGAAAAATGGCCAAACAGTATACCAAGGCCATGACTGCGATGCAGGAAGTGCGATGCGTGCGGTTGTCACCGACGTTATCAGCTTCGCCAATCTTCACGACCTTGATGATGGAACAAAAGGGACCTACCGATAATCCTACGAGCTACTAATACACATGACACCACATTGTCCGTTATACAACGTAAGAAAAAGTACAAGCACCACCCGCAACACCGTGGCGCGCCACGCGACATAGTAGCGAGTAGGAGCCGATCTTCTTTTACAAGTACTTTTTCGGTGCTATCTATATAAGTGCCACGCATTTCGAAAACTAAAGGTTAGTTGTGGCAACCAATAATATCTTTGGCTACACAGTTTCATTTCATTTCATTCACTTCGTTTTTCTAAGATTTCAACCTAAATGCACGTATCGGTTCACCTTGCGCGATTTCTCATCGATGGCGAAGTTAATTCGTGAAACCGTCACGCGTTTTGATAAGCGGTTGCACGAACCCGGAAGTACCAATGGCACTGAATTACGCCAAGGTAGGCGCTCACAAAAGCCCCCGGAGAAAGCGCTCCGCATGTGATTTTGGGGACGAAAACGCGACAAATCTTACCACGTGGCCCGATTTCACAAACGGTGATACTCGGGAAACGGCGCGAGAATCTACGAACGACCGTGCACTATTGTGGTATCTTTGCAACGAGCCCAAGCACACATTTTATTGAACCTTTATAGGATGAAATCATGGTTAATTTTTCGGAACTCTAGTTACCTAATATAGATATAAACTGACACCATTTGGCCTAGACCTCTAAAGAAATTAAAACATTATTAATCAGTTTGGTAACGACCTGAACGATACCGAAACAAAAAAAATTGTACAGAAAGCATCGTATGCACGATAGTCAATGCACTGTCGAATTAAACGACAGGTCGTATTTAACGACGCTCTCGACATTGCACAGGTGCCGGTGGCCAGGTCATTGAGATGCATGCAAGCAGCTGCCATGGGAACCGCTCAGACACGGGACATTTCTGCGTAACCACATGGCGTGCAGGTCCGTCGATAGTAGCGGGTTTACGGTCGCGATGCTCCTATAAGGTAAACACGAGGCAAACTCGTCGCTTCCCAGGAAACGGCGCCCGGGACCCCACCGCTGCAGTGGTGGCACGCCAGGGCTGACGCACGAGCACTCGGTACCACGTGCTCAGTAAACGAGCGCTCCAGCTAAAAACCCCCGTTGTTGCACAAGGTTTTTGTTGCTACGAGCTCTCTTCCCCACCGTCATGCCCCCTCGTGCTTGCTTCCGAGGCCCACGTGTGCGCGATAACGTGCAACGCACTGGGGAGGAGCGTTGCCGTCTTCGGTTCTCGGGGCAACAAAAGACCGCCCAAGGGGTCTGCCCCCCCTCCTCCCACGTCAGCTGCTCGGCTTGCGGGCACGACGCGCCAAATGTGCGCATTTGTACAGTATTGCGCGTGTCGCGAAACTTATAACGTGCGATCTAGCAGTTGCCCTTCGACAAAACGACGACCGAAACGCGGTAACCAAAGGCATAACGGTAATAAGCTTTCCCCTTGGCAGCGAGCTTATAAATTCGCCGAAGGTTACATCACGGACGCAGTTCGCAACAGTAGTAGTAGTTTAGGGAAAGGGTTGACGCGCCGTGCATGTTGGCGGGCGGCGCTACTAAACCACCGAAAGCAAAAAAAAAAAGAAATAAAAGTAATCGCGTCTCGGTCGAGCCTGCACCACAGCATGCGGGCAGGCTCGCCGTCACCATCCACGCAGTGCCGCAATACGCTGAGCACTTCGTCATGTCACAACCTCTGGCATCAGGTGCAACCCGATTCTGGGTAAAAACAAGGCCGAGACGCAAAACGAAAAAGCGCGCGCGTTGCATGCTACCTGTCTGCAAGAAGTAGCACGAGCGAAACCATTAGGCCTAGGCAACAGTGCACGTAAAAATAAATACGAGAAACCGAGTGTTGCAACGCAGTTTTTACTGTTTTTTTTTTTTTTATTGGGCTGAGAGCGGCGTGGGCATCCTAGCGAATGTAACGAGAACACAGGCCACCTTTCGTCGAGCGGAAACTGCGACGCGCGGAGTTTATCGCCCGCCAAAGCGGGAAGCGATGCTCGGCACAGCATCGGCCGACAACAACAAAACGCGTATTCAGATCCAGACTTCACGCTACGTCGCTCGGGCTCAGCGAATCGTTGCGACGACTTCCCGTGTTTATTCTGTCACCTCCGAACGCCGGCCGACTCGCACAGGTATCGGCTGCCAGGTGACACAATGAGAGCGCCTTCACAAAGAAGGCTAGCACACCGCAAGGCAGCGAAGCCCACTCTCGCGAGCGTCAGCTGACGGACGAAGGCGAGCGTTTCCGCCTCGACTCGGGCACCGATCGGAAATGAGCACACCTTCAAGATCGGCCGCCGAAGGAGCCAGCCTGAATCACGACACGCTCGGGCTACGTGGTTATGTTTTCTCCGACATCGCCACAAATGGGCAGTCACGAAAAGCAAATGCACTTAGCAACAAAGGCGCGCTAGCACAACGCGCCAGCGTTCACGGGAAGGAAACAGTCTCCGAAAACGGAAATCGCTGCTTATCTATCGGGCAAAAAGCGCTGCCCAGAAAGCAAGAAGACAAAACACATCTCGCCGCTATTAGCAAAGGCTGATACACGATGTGCGTCGCGGATTTGTGGTGGACCTCGATCGGGCTCGGCAAAAATTTGCGTCGCACTAAGGACAGCCACGCTGGATCCTTCTTCGCGAGACGGCGACATCCTTTCATGTGCTTCGCGCCAACTGAAGACCAAAATTAGACTCGAGTTTCCAACGCGGAAACGTGTCGTTTGGCCGAGTGGTCACATACGGAACCGTACCTCCGAAATCCGTCTCGAAATCGACCAGCTATATGTAAAGGCTCACGTATACGGCGGGCGCGTAATTACGTTTGCATAATACGCAGATGTAGGGAACCCCAACAAAGCACTGCTGCGCGTTGGGGGAGCCGTCGTACGGAACCTCGCAGTCTGGCCAAACGGGTTCCCTCCCCAATCGTCGTGCGCGGCCCGGGCATAGAATACAATACAGCAAAAGGGCAGACTGCAGGCATCACAAAACGAATAAAAAAGCGAAACGGCCATCCTTCGCAGTGTGCAGTCTTTTTCGCCTGCGAGACTCGAGCGACGGTGGGCCCGAAATGCGGCGTTACTCGGGCACCCCGGGTGACTGCACAGCTTTCGAACTCGGCCACTCGATCGCAACGTCCACCGATGAGGCAGTTCGAACCCTCGAGACAAAGGTCAGCAGCAAAGCCAAACAAAGGGCCCCGTGCTGGTGGCACTTGGATCCATCGCGTAAACAGAGATCGCTCGGCTCGCCGAGCGAGTAACTCTTGCTTACCAGCCACTCGTCCGAGTGTAAATCCATGAGTGGTCGCTGGGCGATTCGGCGTATCCAGGCGATTTGGGCACTGACAAAGACCGTTTTACTTGGAGCGAGACACACTGCGTTGTTTTGGTCGCGAGGCGACAACCAGCTGTTCCTTACGCGAGGAGCGATTGCGCAGATGCGTGTCAAAAGAGAGACCGCTCGGCGCAGGCAACAAACAGCGACCTCGGCAACGCTACGGGCGGGAGCAGCCAATCGGAGCGGCCGCTGAGAACTCTCGTGCCGTCGCAGAGCAGGGCATTGGCCCTCGGGCGAAAGGGCCGCTTTCGCGGGGCAGCCGCCTTGCCCGCGCGGGAAATCGCGCCCGCTAGTCGCGAAACACAACTTCACAACTCCACTCGTTTTTTTGACTCTCTGAAAAACGCCAACGTAGTGTGCTGCCATCTATGTGTTCAACAAATAAACTGATTAACGCAATCTTGAACACAAAAGTTTGCACAGTTGCTTATTTTTAAACTGGTAGGTAACGCAAAAATTAAAAAATACTCACGTTTAGAGCTTTAACATTGTCTGTTTTTGAAGAAATTGAGTGCGCGTACTAGCGCAACTAGATGCAAAGTAAAAGGGTTCCGGAGCTCCGTGAGCTCCGATCGCCTGGCTAGGAGCGCCCGATTTTTCGGAGAATTCAAACAAGTTGTTTTCATTCGAGAGCGGTTAGCATTAAAGGGGAACGAACCACACGACGAGTCATGATTCGCGAAAAAAAGACCCTCCTATGCGTCTAATGCAGTGGGGAGAATGCCCTCCCAAAAAGCCGCGCTCTCGCTGTTGTGGGGTTGAACTTGCATGTCCATCGTGTAGTGTGCGCGCGCGTGTGTGTGTATGTGCATGCAGTTTCGGGAAATACCCTCTTCCGTCTCCAGGAGCAGAGTTCAACGTTCGCGCCTACCGCGTGTTCGAACAGCGTTAAAAGAAGAAAGAACAGAAACCAGGGGTGGGCGTGCTGGTCGCTCTTTGGTTGCCAACGCTGAGAAGTCCCCCCCTATACATAATTGCTTTCTCTTCGGCTATATTCTTCGTGTCACTTGTTTCTATAATAGGTTCGCCTCATCCTCTCTTCGCCCTCCTGGTTTCCAAGTACGGTGAAAAAAAAAAAAGAGCCCGCGAACTGCACCCTTGAGTCCCGGGCTCGAGGCTCGAGTACACTGTAGTGGCTGTACGCATTTCCTCTTTCTTCCGCTACATCTTATCCCCCACCCTCTTTCCCGCCTTCTTTCTGGCAACCCACCCGGCCGCGACCGCTTCACGAACCGTGAATCGCCTTGCGCGCACTTCCTCTTTTGTCGGAGCGCACTCAATGCAAGACCAAGTATGGGAGCGGGGTGCATAGGTAGGTGCACGCCGCAGAGGGTAACAAGAAAAGAAACCGTTCTTTGGAAGCGCGTTGCGTTGCCCGCACGGCCGTGCTTGTGCACGGTGCCATTCACAAAAACCCGTGTAGCCGTTCCCAAGTTATGATTCTTTTTTTTTTGCATTTTTTTAGGCGCCCATCAACGGCGTTTCTTTCATTGAGCAGCCAACCCGGGTGGTATCTCTCTTTCGTTTCCTCATGCCCTATCGTAATCGTTTTATCATCTTTTTTCTGAGAAAGCCCCCTCCTTGTGCAAGAACCCCACGCTGCAACCTTTGCGTAAATCGTTCCCCAGCTGAGTGCTGAACCGATTGCGTCCGCTGCGGCTAACGTCGTCCTGCGACACGAGGGTGTCACGAACGAATTACGTTGTTACGACATTGAAACATCGGCCTTTGTTTCGTGCGCACGTGGAGCTCGCTCAGTGGCGAATCGGGCATGGAGCAGCCCTTTAAACTTTGCTCGCAGTTTGTTTAGCAGTGCAACTGAGGTGCAGTGGGGTGCTCTTATTTGTATAATGCCAAAACAAAATCATTCGCGTCACGCTCCAAACTGCAACCACTGATTTTCGGCCGGAATAGTACTGTTGCGTCGTCTGCTCCATTCATTTCGAAACGCATTAAATCTAAAGCTTAAAGGCGCGTAGCATGGTGCCGCCATCTATTATCTAATATTCTAACTGTTTTTACTCATTTAGGTTACAAAAACTGGCCTTCGAGACCTGGTTTTTATTAAGCTGGGCATTGCGACTTTGAGAGAGTCGTCGCTGAAAATTTGCAGAGTGAACGTCACTTAATCTACCAAAATCACAAAAAGCCTAAATTTTAAACATTGATTTAAATAAAATATTGCCTTTGCACAATACATTAGAGTAATTTCCTACTCAAGCCAAAATTTTAGTGTGCTGTGTTAGATCTAGTTTCAGTTTCGGTGACACAGATGGCAGCGCTGCCTCAAAAATGGTGAAAGAAAATGGGAAATCTTTCTAAGCTCTAGAAGCGAAGCATCCCCCCTGATCAATGAAAAGATTAGAAGAAAGGGTGCTCAGTGGCTGACAGAAGTACATAAAAAGGACAGAAAGGCAGCTGCGAAATTTTGGAACCATCTAAACTCCCTAAGAAATCAAACAAATCTAGAGCAGAGGTTTATAACTACAGCTCAAGGTGTTAGGATAGAAGGGGACGAAGCTATTGAATATATAAGAACAAGGGTGACAGAAAAATTTCAACAAAGAAGTGCCTTATGCACCACAATAAACAGGGATGGATCAAGTGACACAATGGCTCTATTTTCACAACGAGAGTGGGAAAGGGCTGAGAAGAGGGTTCCAAGTAGCACATCAACAGGCCCAGATGGCATTCCAATTATGCTGATAAAGACATTGGGTCCAAAATCTAAACAGGCTTTGAGAGAGGCAGTGAGCAGAACTATAATTGATGGTGAAGTCCCTGATGGATGGAAACTTAGCAGGATGAGCATGATTTATAAAGGAAAGGGGGACAAAGATGACATAAACAACTACCGTCCCATAACAGTGACATCAGTGGTCTACAGGCTGGCGATGCAGATTATAAAAGAAAAACTGCAGGCATGGATAGAGGATGAGGGGGTGCTGGGAGAACAGAAGAATGGGTTTCGGAAACACAGGAGGTTGGAAGACAATCTGTTCTCACTGACGCAGTGCATAGAAATAGCAGAAAAAGAACTTAGGCCCCTGTGGCTAGCATTTTTGGATATCAAGGGAGCATACGATAGCGTGGTTCAAGAGGACTTGTGGGGAATACTAAACAAACTGGGTGTGGAAGATGGAGTCACTAATTTTTTAAAAGAAATCTATAAAAGTAACAAGGTAGTTATAAAGTGGGAAAAACAGGTATCCAAGCCCACAGAGGTGAAACGGGGACTTAGGCAGGGGTGTCCACTGTCACCCTTGTTATTCATGATGTACCTACAAGGATTAGAGGCCATATTAGAGGGAAGTGGACTTGGCTTCAACCTCTCTTTAGTCAAACAAGGAAAACTCATTGATCAGGTACTACCAGCATCCAACATTAATGTACGCAGATAATATAGTGCTGATGGCCGACAACAAGGAAGATTTGCAGAGATTGATGGACATCTGCGGTAACGAGGGAGATAGGTTAGATTTTAGATTCAGTAAGGAAAAATCAGCAGTCATGATTTTTAATGATAACGAAAGTAGTGAGCTTAGAATACAGGAAGTCACGCTAGAGATAACAGATAAATACAAATATCTGGGCGTATGGATAAGCAATGGGACTGAGTACCTAAGGGAACACGAAATATATGTGACGACTAAAGGTAACAGGAATGCAGCAGTGATGAAAAATAGCGCACTGGAATTACAATAGGTATGATGTTCTGAGAGGAATATGGAAAGGTGTCATGGTTCTTGGGCTGACGTTCGGCAATGCGGTCTTGTGCATGAGGTCAGAAGTTCAAGCAAGATTAGAAATTAAGCAACGTGGAATAGGTAGGCTTGCTTTAGGAGCTCACTGGAATACACCAAATCAGGGAGTACAAGGTGATATGGGATGGACATCATTTGAAGGCAGGGAAGCTAGCAGCAAGATAAAATTTGAGAAGCGATTGAGAGTAATTGGGGAGAAGCGTTGGGCTAGGAAGGTTTTCAGCTACTTATACATGAAGAATGTCGATACAAAATGGAGGAAGCGAACCAGGAAATTGACTGGTAAATACTTAGAAAACAGCAGGTGGCCAAACCAAAAAGAACTATCGGTTAGGAAGAAAGTGAAGAAAACGGAGACCGATATGTGGAGAATTGGCATGATTAAGAAGTCCGCACAAGAGATCTATTGAACTTTTAAGCAGGAAATTGCCAAAGAAAGGATCTATGATAATACTCGGGGTAGTTCTCTACTGTTTGAGGCCAGGACGGGAGTATTGCGAACCAAGACATATCAGTCCAAATGCGAAGGGGTAGACACAGTATGCAGTGCGTGTGGAGAGGAAGAAGAAACTGCCGAACACTTGCTAATGTTCTGTAAAGGGCTTCACCCTATAGTTCAGGATGATGGTGCAGAGTTTTTCAAAGCACTGGGGTTTAGGGACAGGGAGGGCAAAATAGACTTTAAGCGGGTAGACTCAACTAGAAGGAGGTTACCTGATTGGTGGCTAAAGTCAAGGCACGAGTGAAAATTAAACCCTTCACTGCAAAGTACCCGTCCAACTTTACTATTTAAAGAAAAAAAAAAGATAAATCTAGTGGTTAGTTCACAACGTATTCCGGCTAGGTGGCGTTAGCCGCCGCCCTATCTAAAGGGTACAGCCACATACATCCATCCATTGATCTATGGTGTTATTCCCTTAAAAGCACCAAACACAACGACAGAAGAGGGATACTAGAGACGAACCTATAATATGTAAAGCCACGATCATTCTGAAAGCTCCATCGACTCATCGAAGCGTTAGGTGAACGCCCCAAAACCATATTTGCAGCGAAGTTCCATAAGGCTATATCAGCGCTAAGCGAAATTATTGTTTGTTCACCCTATGTACGCAAAGACATTCGGCATTGGTGTACCACAGAAATTGGACAAACCCCACTACCTGATCGACTAAGAATGAAGAGGGAGCACATGGTGTTCAGGTACTGCTTAAAATTACTGAAGAGATGTAAACAATGTAGTTGAGAAAGACTGCAGTGTTCTGTCAGCATTAAACCCGTGCTTAACAGTGGGGACGCACGTATCAGCGTTGTTGGTTAGCCATCTGTGCTTAGGAA